TAACATGAAGCATTTGCAAAGTAGTTGCCTAAGAACTGAGTTTGTACAAATACACAGTATTTGAATTTGTTTCTTTTTTGTTTCTGTTCTAATGAGACTTAAGCCTTAGTGCTGCAACTTTTGGAAAATTGTATTGGGTTCAAAAATAGGATTTGTGCAAGCTGCTTAGTCTGTGAAGAATCCTGGAAATTTGTCATGGCTTCCTATGGGATCTTTAGTATTTTCACAATATTTGAAATTTTTGACTGATTATGTGAATTTTGCCTGGTCAAATAATCTTTTATAATTCTATGCACACTACAAATTTCATGATGTAACAGCTACATTCATCCAGCACAGTAGAACATGGTCTATCATGACAGAAATAATGCTACCTTCCCTCAGACCTGGCAATTCTCTCTGACATGGACATGAGGAATAGCCCAGCCTGTTGTCTAAATTCCAAACCTTGCTTAATTTTAACTATGATGTGGTTGAAACATGCTAGCTTCATAGATCCATAGTTGAAGTTGGCTTGGTTTAAACAAACTTAGGGCCTTTACAGACTGCCATAAATAATGCAGATTGAGGCCACTTTTAACTATCCTGGCTCTGCTACGGAATCATGGGAATTGTATTTTTTTCTGGGACATTTAGCCTTCTCTGTCAGAGTGCTCTGGTACCACAATAAACTGCAATTCCCATGATTCCTTAGCACTGAGCCAGGACAGTTAAAGTGGCCTCACGCGGCATTATTTCTGGCAGTCTGTAAAGGCCCTTGAATAGTCACAGTTTGCAGAATTTGTGTAACAAGACAAATGCTGATCAATAATAATAATAAAAAAATGGAAGCAAATGTTTCAGAACTGCTCTTTGCTTGGGGAAGAGGGCTAGGCTTATTGCCATTATGGCAAACTGTAGTTTGTTGTGATGATCAAGTGTCTGTATAAGCATGACCCTGTGAATGCATGTATAAGGCAAGCAAGCTAACATTTCTTACATTCTTGAAATCCCAGGCTGCTATGAAGCCCACTAGTCCACATTTTGTGGGTGGGTAATTATGTTTAAATTTAGTGTTGTTTTTTTGGTCAGGTGTTATTCTTTGGGCATGTGTTTGTATAACTTTAAACAGAGCTTGGAACTGTTATTTTTTTGAACTTAACAACTACTAGGTTCTGTGGTGGGAAATTTTTAATGAGCTGGCAGGAACATGGTTGTGGCCTGTGGGGAGGGTTAACATTCCTTTTCTCATGTGCCATTCCTCCCTTTCTTTCTCTCTCTCTCTCTCTCCCTCTCCCTCTCCCTCTCTGTAATAGGGGATATATGAGGTTATGTGGCATAGAACTAACTTGCAAAAGAGTGGCATGAAGCTTTCCTGGAATCATGTTAGCTAGGGACACTGGGAGATATAGTGCAAAAGGTTAACGTTACAAGGTCTGATGCAGAGCAATCTTCCCCAATCTGGAACCCTCCAGATAGATTGGAATGTAATCCCTAACCCCACCAAAAACAAAGCAAAGCAGCTTCATTTATATACCACTTCATACCACGCTATGGGGTGTCTATAAACGGTTTACAACTATAAGCTCATTGCCCCCCAACAGCTGGGTACTCATTTTAGCAACCGCGGAAGGATGCAGGCCTGAGTCTAGCCCAGGGGTCTGCAACCTTTTTGGGGGTGGGGACGGTCCCCCGTCCCCCAATGCCCCCCGGACCGCACTACCAGGAGGGCTCCCTTGACCGCACCAGGCCTTGGAGAGGCCCAGTGCGGCCACGCCCCCCCCCAGGCCGCAGGGGTCCTCTGGGACGCCATTTTGGATTCCAAAATGGCTCCTGAGTCTCGTACAACCTTTTCTGTGACAGGAAAGGTCGCACAAGACTTGGGCGCCATTTTGGAATCGAAAATGGTGCCCCGGAGGACCGCTGTGGCCGCGAAAGGCAGCAGCGGTGGCAGGACCGGGTAGGGGCCAGTCCAAAGGCCTCCGTGGGTTGCACCCGGCCCGCAGGCCTTAGGTTGCCGACCTCTGGTCTAGCCTGAGCCCTGGCTAGTATTGAACTCACAACCTTGTGGTCTATGAGTGAGTGGCTGCAGTACAGGCTTTTAACCACTGTGCCACCAGCCATGATATATTAACTACCATGCATTTCTACAATTTGTGACTTTCTGTCCTATACGTCTGGTGCATATACATCCCTCAAGACTGTATGCGACAATTCAGGTCGCACTCCCAGCATGAAGAACATCTATACTCTAAAACTGATTAGTCTTCATTTTAGTTTGGTGAGATTGACAACTGGATGTTTATGATTCTGCAAGTAATATTTTTTGTTTTGGTCAACTGTAAATCTTAGGATCAACTACATTTTGTCTAGGTTTGCCTGTAAACTAAAGCTGCAGTTAAGTCAGAAAGAAATGAAAACTTCTGTTGCTTCAGCACTGTCGAAGAAATGGAGGCAGTGGAATTCAGGAGAGTGAGAGTGGATTAGGTTTGTTTCTTTAACAGAAAACCATAGATTAGCATTTTTTTAAGGGTAGCAAATGGATGTAAAGTATTTCAAAGACATTAAACAACTTAATGATAGCTTCTCATTGTTGCCATTTCACTTGTTTCCCTTCTGTACTATACAATTACAACACTATGATTTGGCTTCAACTATCATTGTTCAATCCTGTGGAATCCTGGGTTTTGTAGTTCAGGGCGGGATATTTAGGATTCCCTAGGATTTTGCCATGGCAATTTAAAGCGGAATCATAGTACTATAACTGTGGTAGTGTGAAAGGGACTCAGGTATGTATTTAAATGCTGCATATATTTTTGGAACTTTATCCAGGCAGATGTTTAAATTTTGCTGTCAACCCTATAGACAGCCAGCTTGGTATAGTAGTTTGAGTCTTGGACTAGAACTCTGGGAAATCAGAGTTCAAATTCCATTCAGCAATGGAAGCCAACTGGGTGACCCTTGGGAAAGTCACACTCTCTCAGATTTAGAGGAAGGGAATGGCAAACCTTTTCCAAATAAATCTTTCCAAGAAAATCTTATGATAGGGTTGGCCATAGTTAGAATTGGCTTGAAGGCACATAACAATAATCTTTTTGTTCAATCTCTCTTAAATAACATAGTTCAGAATTATTTAATATATCTGAGTATGCCTTACAGTCTTTCACCTCAGAAGTTGGTTTTCTACCAGAACTACAGGTTTTGAAAGGACAGTCTTTTTTAGATGTTATTTTTTTGCTTCAAAATAAATGGCAATATTTTTGATGCCAGTCACGGAAATGTTTTTACTTTTGGTATACTTTACCACCAGGGAGCCAGCGTGCTTAGTGGTTTCAGCATTGGACTATGACTCTGAAGATCAGGATTCAATTTCCTGCTCAGCCATGGAAATCCACTGAGTGACTTTGGGTGAATCATACACTCTCAGCCCCAGAAAACCCTGTGGCAGATTCACCTTAGGATCACCATAGGTCAGAAACAACAACAACAATACTTTATACCACCAGCCAGCATAACGAAATGGTCTGAGCATTGGACTATGATTCTAGAAACCAAGGTTCAAATCCCTACTCAACCACGGAAACCAACTGAGTGACCTTGGACAGTCAGCCTCAGAGGAAGGCAAAGGCTAACCCTCCACCCCCTCACCCCCCGAATGAATCCTGCCAAGAAAACCCCATGATAGCTTTGCCTTAGAGTTGCCATTAGTGGGAAATGACTTGAAGGTATACAACAATACTATTTGTGTAGTATATTCTGGTGATTCTTTTAGGGACTAAAGAACAATACTTGTACTAGCATGATGAAATAAATTATTTTAGTAATTTTTACAGGGATTTTACACTGATACAACTGCCCACATTAGTAGAACTAGGTGTGCATGTGGAATTCACCATTTCCATACTTAAGAACCTACTAGGAAGTCCTCCAGAACAGGTTTTTGAGTAGTTTGGAGAACTTCAAGGAAGATGAGAGCCAGAAAATATCACTGTGCTTGGAGACAGCTGCTAGCAGCAGGCTGGATTTAGGCCAATGTAAAAACATTTTCTACATAATGATGAAATGTTAACAATAATAGCGATAGAACCTTCATTCCAGCATTCTGCTCAGTTACTGTGGCTGCTCATGGCCTTGGGTCAGAACTGGAGAAATGACAATCTAGTGCTGTGAAGAAATACATTTTAATTGATAAAAGGAAATGGCTCAGAGTGTTTCAGGGATGAGGTTGCTATACAGTTGCCCCTCCAAAACCATGGACTTAGGATCCGCAGTTTTGGTTATTCACGGAGGGTCGACCTCCATTTTAATGAATGGGGCATGTGCCTGTGGTACGCTCCCTGCGCGCTCCCACAGAAGCACACCCATTCAAGTCTATGGAGCTTGAATACATGCAGTTTTCTTTTTCGCAGGGTGGTGGTGGTCTGGAATGGATTCCCCACAAAAAAGGAGGGGCAACTATATAGAACAAGCAATAGAAATGATGTCTTCCTCCACAGGAGTTAGAAAAGATATGTAAGTAAAACAAGACAAAATGTAATAGGCAACAGAATGTGATGTACAAATTTGCAGATGCTATAATTTATATTTATATCATATTGGAGATGTCTCATCCACAGGGTCGCCATGAATTGGGGTTGACTTGAGGGCAATTAACAACAACATAAATGTAATAACAGATTAATGCCAGGACTAAAATGTGTATTAAAAATGAGAAGGAGGCAAATCCTGTTGAGAGGTGTCATAGCTTAATGTTCCATGGTTGTAGTGTAATGCTATGCTGATGTTATTGCAGGATTGCCAAGAGTGCAAGATATCCAGACTGGTTAGGAATGTGAAACTTCCTATGTGTTTTATAGGGAGCACAGTGGACTGTGGTGTGTCCCACAGGAGTGCTTATACAGATATCCTTATACAGGGTGATAAAGGATTTGATTTGCACAACTGTCCAGTTATACATATATAGCTCACCAACAAGATCCTGGCCAAAATATTTAAAATACTTCAGTATAATCTTAATAGAAAACCAGGTGTAGTGGTTCGAGTGTTCGACTATGACTCTAGAGACCAGGGTTGGAATCCGTGCTTGGCTATGTAAACCCACTGGGTGCCCTTGGGCAAATCACACTCTCTCAGTCTCAGAGGATGGCAATGGCAAACCTTATCTGAAGAAATTTGCCAAGAAATCAGCCTTATGGTCACTATAAGTCAGATATGACTTGAAGGCACACAACAACAATAAATCTTAATAGGTGTACAAAAGCAATGCAGACTTAAGAACTATATAGAGTTCACAAACCTTTGCATACTATGGTTCATGGTATCAAATGCTGCAAAAAGATCCAGGATGACCAACAGGGATGCACTCCCCCTTGTCCAGCTCTTGGTGTAGATCATCCACCAAGGTTACCAAGGCTGTTTTTTGTCCCATAACCAGGCCTGAGTGCAGATTGGAATGGATCCAGGTAATCCTATTCATCCAGGAAAGCCTAGAGTTGTGTTGTTGCCACTTGCTCTAGGATCTTAGAAAGAGGAGCTTAGAGACTGGCTGATAGTTACCTAGAAAGGTGAGGTCCTGTGAAGCCTGAGTTTGGAAAGAGTGTAGCAGTGTGTGCCTGCCTGTAATCAGAAAAGTAAACAGCAGCTGCCTCCAGAATTCCTTACTGAGCAGGCATGTATAGCAAAACAGCAAATAAGGGACAAAGCAGGTAAACCTGCCTCAGCAATTCACAGCATGTTGGAAAGCATACATCTGTAAGTCTGGCCACCAAAAAAGAAGTCATAACAAATGTGAAGGCTGGCAAAAGAAAATGGTACTCCTAGCTGCGTTTTGGAAGAAGCCTTCAAGCAGTTTCAAGAAAACTGAAAATATTTTTGCTTACTTATACAAGGTTTACCTGACTTGTGAAGTCAAAGGCTTTCACAGCCAGTATCCATAAGTTTTTATGGGTTTTTTAAGGCTGTGAGGCCATGTTCTAGAAGAATATTCCTGACATTTCACCTGCATCTATGTCTGGCATTTTCAGAGAATGATAGCATGGAGGTGTGTGGGATATATATACTGTGTGATCCTTGGTTGAGCGGATTAACATGTAAATATGTATATTGTTCTGTGAGGCAAGGCCTCAGGGTTGGAGGATATGCGAGAAGGATTAGTGTGTGAGGCCTTGCCTCGATAGAACAATACACATATTGCTCATCCTCTCAACCAAGGGTCACACGGTATATATACCCCACACACCTCCATGCCACCATTCTCTGAAGATCCCAGCCACAGATGCAGGCAAAACATCAGGAATACATTCTTCTATTACAGGGGTAGGCAACCTTTTTGAGCCGGGGGCCGGGTTGCTGTCCCTCAGACAATTGGGGGGCCGAAGCACCAAAAATTAAATAAATTATATATTTTTTAAAAATTTAAAAAAATGCATGCACACTCTCTCAGCCCCAGAAAAGCCATGGCAAAACTCCTGTGGAGATTTTGCCAAGAAAACTCCAAGAACAAGTAATAGCAACAATAATATCATCATGGTGGGTGGCGGCGGCGGCGGCAGGACAAGCCTGGGGCCAGTCCAAAGGCCTTGGGGGCCCGCATTTGGCCCCCGGGCCTTAGGTGCCTACCCCTGTTCTAGAACATGGCCTCATATCCCAGAAAACCCACAAAAACCTATTTACCTGACTTGCTTGTTTCATCTCTCATCTCACGTGTTGCTCGTTTTGAAGAATAAAGTTTACTGAAACATGTTGAACTGCTGTTCTCTCCTGTGGTGTAGGAACCTGTTTTCCCCCCCTCTGGTACCTAATTTTCTTTTAAAGCAGTGGTGCCCAGGAAGAAATCTGCTTTGTTAAATGAGGTATATCTTTACAACTATAAAAGGTTTTTATAAGAGGTCTGGCCAGGTTCCTGGTGTAGCATATTCTTGCAGAAGTATCGTCCTCTTGGTTATGGTTGAAAGTATGAGTACCTCATCCCCAAGTTTTTTTAATGGCAGCACCTGCAACTTTTTATCTTAATGTCAGCTAATAAGTATCATTCCTTTTCAAGATCCCTGGTTTTCATTTCCAGCCACAGGGAAGTAGCCAATATAACCTATACTGGTTATATTTCCAAAGACCTGAATTATTAATATTATTGTAAGCATATTTTTCTTAGAAGGATTTTAGTGTTTGTTGCTCTTTATAAGGTCTCAGTGGCTTTGTTAATATTGAGAACTCATTGTAATTTTAAAAGTTTGTTTTCTGTGTATTAGATTTTGTAAAGATATTTTACATGCTTCCTGTGTCTCAGGTTTTTTGGGTAAATACACATTGTAATCCTTGCATTAGTCTGCATTAGTCTGCTGTTACATTTGTTAATTACTATTGTCTACAGATTCATGTGTGGCATTCTGTTGTTTATTTGATATACGGTAGTCTTGTTTCACTTTTGTAGCTGCAATGGACCTTGGTCTTCCTTTCCCTGTATTAAGAAATGCTGATTTCTTTCTCTCTCTTGTGTTTTACATGGATCAAAGTTTAAGACTGATTGATTCAGCAGGTGATGTTGTAGTTTGACTAGCATCAGCTGTAGTATGGCACCAGATTTACAAGTTCCTGAACAGGGTAATTTAATTTGTCCCATTGTGACTGTGGTCAAGGTGGGTTTTGTATAGCATCTGGTTGGAGTTTTTGAATTCCACCAGAATATGAAAGCTGCCAAAATCATAAATTGGGGTGAATACAAATAATGACCATAAGATGGAAGGTTCAGCTCCCTTTGTCATATACCATTGATGCCATGTTATTGTGATAGAGTAAACAGAGTCCAAAAGGGTTGGATTGATATTCTCAAATAATGGAAACAGCTAAGGAGGAAGGAGATGGACAAATATTCTGATGAGTAGAAAAAAAAATTGAAGTGCCTCTTGCACTGTCTGAAGATACTACTTGCATAGTTATGTGTTCATATATGATTATTAAAGTCATATATGATTATAGAAATCTGTGTAAATTTACATTGCTAGAAACATATGTAGAACCCCCACCCAACCCCCAGTTTTATAGATCTATTGATTTTGCTGTATCCAGTATTTCCATTAATACTGCATGTGCAACTCTTGGTCTAATGTCTACAGAAGCCCTCTGTGGAGTATTAATGCATACCTGTGGTGAATGATTTGGGAAGGTGGGAAGGAAGATGTGAGAGAGAAGGTCCACTTTGGACTCTATCCATTCCTGTCTTTGAGCATGCTCACTGTCAACTTGTACTCCTTGAAAAACAACCTTTCATTGTAATCCAACAGAAAATGGATAGGCTAGCTCAACCCTGATTTAAATAACTTGTTATGACTTACATGGCATTATCTTTTTATGTCAAGGACTGCAAGGTGGGTGAATTTTCCTCCTCTCTGTTCGCCACTGGTGATTCGTCAGTATTGACCTTCCTTCATTTTTTTTTTTTTATCTTCTGCTGGAAACCCTGCCCTTCAAGCATGAAATGATGCTGAGAGCCATGGGTTGCCCTAATGCAAAGCCACTTCTCCATTAAAGCAATAGTAGGCAGAAAAGCTCTAAAAATCATTGCTATAAGATATGGTGCATGCAAATACTGACAGGAAATTATTCATAATTCTGTGTCTGAATGGGGATTCAGAACCAAATATTGCAAGAACCAGGGCTGAACTTGCATATTTTCTTGCGAGATTTTCCATGGGAATTTCTGATACATCTGATTGCCAGCAGAATGGACTTCCTTCTCCTCAACCCCCCTCTGAAGACACTTGCCAAGATGCCCTGTGATAGGCTTACCTTAGGGTTGCCAGGAGTCAAAAATGAATTGGAGGTGCACACAACAACAAAATGCAGCTGATGCCTAGTAAAGCAGATGTGAGTGGGATTTAGAATTGTAGCAATAGTGTTACATTCATTACTTAGTAGCAATTGTGGATGTAAAACAGATACTTAGATGTCCTCATAAATTCACAATCACTACTTTTTCATGATTGTGACACTATGGCCACAACCATAGCTCCCCTCTCCAACCTACTTTACTAGGAATCCATTCTGTTCATGACTGGAACATGGATAAATTATATTTCTTCAGGTTTGGGGTAGGGTGGAGTTGGACACAAAATATACTTAACGACTTTAAATCTTCATACTTTGGTTATTTAACTAATTAGCTGATAGAGAGAGGATTCCAGTCAGTATTTATTTCTACATTACTAGAAATAGCCAGTAGATGTCAGTGGAAATGCTATCAAGAGACCCATGGGCAAAATGCATGCCTTCTGTACTTACTAAAAATGCAAAGTTGTGCTGATTTTGAAAAGCTTCCATAGATAAACTATAGATGGTGCTTGATTCCATGACAACTCAAACAAATAGTGTATCTTCTTGACGTATAAAGGCATTATTCAACTGGAAAAATATATGTTTTCAAATGTGTAGCATCTTTAACCATCTTATATTGACTCCCTATAGTCTCAGCAAAATGAAGAGCATATAAGCCAACCATAAGCAGCTGCAATCTAGCTTAGGGTTTTTCTGTACTAGATAGGTATGTTGCAAATTGAATTGTGCAATAAAAAAATGCACAGAGGTTATTTCAAATTTAATCCATCAGATCCATTTTTACTTAAACACACTCACTCCATCATCAGTTTTTCTATCATTCTGAAACAAAGTGCAAAATATACATATATAGAGGCACAACTTATACTCAAACAAACTATTGAATGGGAACTGTACATCTTATTTATAGACTGAAAATGTACACAGAAGGTGAGATGGAAATGCATACAATTTAATTGTAGTATTAGCACAAAATCCCATTGGGATGAAATGCAGAGGGTTTGGTTTGTATTCATGTTAGCTTTTGGGTTACTTGCCCAGTACAGAAGAAAGCTTTGTAGTTTTGCAACCAAATAGTAAAATCTCCCTGTACAAATTAATAACACCAATAGCATATTTAAGAAAATTGTCTTGAGTTTCCTTGTATGTTGAATTGTTACCAAAACAATATATTTAAAAACAGGCTTTCTTGCAGTTTGGATTACAGACATCTTCCAGGATTACAGACATGTATTACAGTCTGAACGGGTGCTTATTGAGA